TTATTTTTATATTCCCCATACAATGGCAACCCCCTTATTTTGACCCCAATCCCTCCCCGCCCCGCCCCCCGCCCCCCATAAAGTGTCTCTGGTTCATAGTTTTTTGTTGATTTTGATTTTCACTTTCTTGTAGTTATTCTTTTTCCTGGTCCCTTATTTAAGTTTTCTAGATTCCTGCTATGAGTGAGACCATCTGGTATTTTTCTTTTTCTTTCTGGCTTATTTCGCTGAGCATGATCCCTTCCAGTGCTATCCATGTTGCTGCAAATTGCATGTGTTTATCTTTTTTGAATGCTGAGTAATATTCCATAGTGTATATGTACCACATCTTCTTGATCCAGTCATCTATTTTTGGGCATTTGGGCTGTTTCCACAGCTTAGCTATTGTAAACAGTGCTGCTATAAACATAGGGGTGCAGGTGCTCTTTGGAATTGATGTTTCTGTGTCCTTTGGGTAAATACCTAGGAGTGGAATTGCTGGATCCTATGGAAGCTCTATGTTTAGTAGGTCCAGAAATCTCCACACAGCTCTCCATAGTGGTTGGACCAGTCTGCACTCCCACCAGCAGTGCAGAAGAGTTCCTTTTTCTCCACACCCTCGCCAACATTTGTTGTTGCTAGTTTTTTTAATATGTGCCATTCTCACTGGTGTAAGATGGTATCTCATGGTAGTTTTGATTTGCATTTCCCTGGTTACAAGTGATGTTGAACATTTTTTCATATGCCTGTTGGCCATTTGCATTTCCTCTTCAGAGAAGTTTCTTTTTAGCTCTTCTGCCCATTTTTGGACTGGATTATTTTCTTTGTTGTTGTTGATTCTCATCAGCTCTTTGCTGATTTTTGTGATCAGTCCTTTATCATTAGTGTTGGGTGCAAAAATGTTCTCCCAGTCAGTGGGATTTCTCTTTGGTTTTGTTATTGTCTCTTTTGCTGTGCAGAAGCTCTTTAATTTGATGTAGTCCCAGCTGTTTATCTTTGCCTTCACTATCACTGCTTTGGGTGATGTGTCTGTAAAGATGTCTTTGATGTGCATGTTACGTAGTTTCGCCTTTTGGTGGGACCCTCACCGGTGGCCGGGGATCGAACTGGCGCTGCAGAGGCTGCGGGCAGCCTCGCAACCCAGCGCTCAACTGCTGCGCCACCAGGGAGGCCCTAATTTAATAATTTTCTTAATGAGTATTGAGAGGCAGTATTTGGGGAAGGAAAAAGTGTTTCCATCCCAATTGAAAGAGAAGTTGGATGTCAGAGAGATTGGATGGAATAGTGAAGCAAATGTATGCAAGACAAGAGGTAAATAGGTAGTGTTATGATTTCTGGAAAAGGAATATTGAAGGCATATAGAAAGAAACTGAGTAGAGTGGGGGATGGAGGAAATGAAGAGGAAAATGGAGGTGAGTTTACCTAGAATTTCAGACTCAGAAGAGGCACAGTGGAGTCTGGGCTTACCTTTTTTTTTTTTTTTTAAGATTTATTTATTTATTTATACAAGCACTGGGTACAGTCAGAAGCGCAGGAGGGTGAGAGCATTCACCCGAGCCACAGTGGGGAACAGAACAGGCAGACTGACAAAATACACTGCTGAGGGGAGCCAGCGGGCACGACAGGAGAGGTCTGCACAACATGTGGGACCCTCGCCGATGGCCGGGGATCGAACCGGCACTGCAGAGGCCGCGGGCAGCCTCGCAGCCCAGGGCTCAACCACTGCGCCACCAGGGGAGGCCCTGGGCTTACCTTTGATGGACAGGTTGATTCCTGTTCTTGCCAGGAACACCACTGTCCTTCAGTTTTCTCAACTCAGAAGAGAGTCAGCTCTTCTAGCAAGATAGTGCAGAAGCTTAGAAGCATGTATTCATGCTCAGGAAATATATCAAACATATATTTTAGGGAAATATTAATTTTGATGTGCAAGTTGGAGATGAGGTTTCTCTTAAAAAATCAAAATAGAGTGTAGATTATAAGATATCTATCTAGAGTAACTGCTGTTGGAGCACAAGGGAAAATACCCACCATTGAGTTCTTCGTGGCTGGACGAGTAATCAAAACAGCATCAGATGGGTTAGCATGCAAATAAATCAATTTAATAACATACTGATGGAGGATTTTCATGGTTGCAAATTCTAAAAAATATTGGAATGAACCAATGATATTTATTCTGTGTTTAAGGACCTGAAGTATCAATAGAAAGGGGGAGACTTCACATGACAGAAAAGAAGGGGTGTCTTGATCTTTCCTCTGTGAGTAAAGATGAGATTCTTAGAAGAGATTTGTTCACTGATAAACTTACACATGGATGAGATCCCACAAAGAATGTTCTTTTTGGTCATAAAAAAGAGGGCAGAAATTGTTTCTTTGATTAGAAAAAGGGCAAAATTTAGGGAGGGATGATTTTGTCTTTGACTAGGGAACGGCGAAGGACTCAGGCAAGGACAGAAGCTTCTTCTCAGCCCTCCCTGCTGTCAACTCAAAACAATCTGAATTTCTTTAAGTGAAGGCTATAGATGCCTCCAGGTTCACTGAGTCCTGTTTGACTTCTAGTTCCCATTTCAAGGTGAAAAGAAGCCTACTCTGTGTGCTTTGAGAAAAGCCTATGTAACCCGTATGATGAGGCTGAAACCACACTACATTTTCTCCAAGTAATGAGATCAAAATTTTTGCTGCTCTATGGTCTTTAGAAGCTTTGTATCTAGAATTTTCTATAATCAATATCAGAATTCTGTAAGATTTTGTACTTATTCATCTCACTTCACATTTCAAGATTATAAAATATGAAATGTCTAAATATTACCCTGTTAACTGAAAATAAAGTCTCAGTGATAGACAAAGTGTATTAGATAATGAAAGTGAGGATTTGAACCCAGGAAGCAATCCCACATGTTGTATTCAGTGAGAGTTGTTCCAATAAACACACGTTTGAATTTAGTTAAATCAGGTAGGCACAGTGAGTCATTGTTATTAAGAATGTCATTATTCTTGGGGGGAGGAGGGGAAGGCTTTTAGTTCTGAGTTGTCCTTACTTGAAGATTCTAGAGGAAGGCAGTGCAGGTTTTAATTTCTTGCCCCGAAGAGATGCAAAGTGTTGGTTCCCATAGCTTAGTCTTTATCTGGATCCTTGGACATGGTGAATGTGAAAAGACTGGCTTTACCTGCAGGCTGCAGATTCCTGCAGACAGAGTGAAGCATGTGAGGAGGGCTTGGCTTCCTAGGAGAGAGGGCTCCCCAGAAAAGTTTATGTTCACAATCCTCATCATAAATGTGACACATATAATATTTGAAGTATTTTTCTTATATTTTCAAAGTGATTAAGCCATCGTTAACTATTACACATCCACCTAGGAAAAAAATGTCATTTCCTCTATGCCTTTTATTGTCATAAATGTGTTATTATTGTGCTATTTTGCTTGTTGTTTTCCTGAACACAGAGATAAAGCAAATCTTTAAAAAGCAGAAGAAAAAAAAATGTTTCCTGATTTAAAGTTATGCAGCCAAGAGGCCATAAGTCAAGACAGGAGTTACTACAACACACAGAATAGAATTTGTGGTATTTATATAGAACATGTCTCATTTTATCTTCTTCAGAGAGATATTATTCTGTTTAGCTGGTTTATGAAGAGTCCCATGATAGTGAAAGTTGGTCTGGCTGGAAGGCTGCTGGTACCTTAAGATTTTTCATCATTAAGGCTTGTTACAGGGAAACCCCGATATGAAATGGGTTGGCCTGACTATGGATCCTTACCCGAGTGCTTTAAAGGGACTTATAATAAGACTCAACTGCAGGCACACACAAAAAGATTAATAAAGGGTTTATTTAGAAAAGAAGGGGAAATGAAGAAATGAATAACTCAGGGAGAAAGAGAGGGAGATAAATTGGTGAATGTGTCCTACCAGTTCCACTGAGCTGGAATCCCAATGGCACGCTGAGAGCTGGCAAAAACCAAGAGTGCCCGAAGGCCCACATGCCTGGTTATACACCAAACCTGGCTGCTTAACTCCACCCTCAGTTCCCAGCAACCCTCCCTTTGGTGGTGATGGCATTATGGGATTTGTAGTCCTTGGTGCCCTAGTCTTGGATATCGTTGGTCTAGAGTGGGGGTGGAGTCCATAAAACCTGTGTTTGTGGAGTTTGTTCAGAGCATCCTTTCCCCCCAACAGGCTCACTGAGGAAAAAAAAAAAGACCTCCCAGAGGTCTTTGTCTCAGCAAATTCTGTTTTGTTTGCATCTTCATCTTTTCTCATTTGCATCAAACTCAAGCAAGACATGGCCTCTGTATTTTGCTGGGCTTCTGGTTCTATCTCTTTTCACACCTACCTCCAAGGTGGGAATCCCAGCCAGGTGCTGTCAATCACGGTCTTGATGTGAATTCTGATCCTTTATATATGCTGGGACTAATGCTTTGATAGACATAGAAAATAAAAAGTGATGGCACTCTTAAGCAGAGCATGGATCTGGGTTTTTGCATCACCTGCTTTTTTCTTTCCCTCTTTCGTCCTGGGGCCGTGGGTCAGACCACACGGCTCTGAACCGGGAAATACCTGCTTGTCAGGACAAGCACCCAAGAGGCTGTGTTTTATGATCCCACAGGACAGTGAGAGCAGCTTTGTATATGGGACTTGATTTGACCCAGTACCAAGCAGGAAGAGGGCGGCCAGGGGTGTGGTCCTTATAATCCACTGTCCTTGGTAACCAAGATTTTCTCTTTTTATTAGTTTCCTTCATCGGTGTGGGAATCTTTCAAAGGTTCACACTGAATCGATGATTTCATCATTATTTCAGATTAGGTGTGCGTTAAGAATTCGGTGAAGTCTTAGACCTTGCTGCTTCTACAACAGGCTGCCTCTTCTCCCTGACAGCTTTTCTCCTACGGTGGTGGATGGACTCGCCAGCCAATGCGGCTTGGGCGCTGGGTCTGTGCTGAGGAGAGGGTCTGGGCTGTGGAGAATGTGTGTATTGTGTCCTGTCTGCTCTAGCCACTGCAAATAACCCATCTCTATTTTATTCGTAGTTCTAACGGCAAGTCTGTATCATGGTCTGAACCAGGTGGAAGGCAGGTGCCCAAGGGACAGCACATGTGGCACCGTCTCTCTGTGCACGTGAAGACCAACGAGACGGCCTGCAACCAGACAGCCGTCATCAAGCCCCTCACTAAAAGCTACCAAGGCTCTGGCAAGAGTCTGACCTTTTCGGATACCAGCACCAAGGCCCTTTACAACGTGGAGGAGGAAGATGCCCCGCCGGTGGGCTTCAGCCCTCCCAGCAGCCCCTCTATGGTGGTGCACCGGCACGTGCCCACCGCGGTCAGCACCCCGCCTCTGCCGCCCCACCTCACCGCAGAGGAGACCCCCCTTTTCCTGGCCGACCCGGCCACCCCCAAGGGCTTGCCCCCAAACCTCCAGCAGCCGCCTTCGCAGCCACCGCAGCAGCAGAAATCCCTGATGGACCAGCTACAGGGCGTGGTCGGCAACTTCAGCACTGGGATCCCGGATTTCAACGCGGTGCTCTCGGTCCCGGCGGGCACGGGGAACGGGGTGCGGTCCCTGTACTCGCCCCCGGGGCCCCCGCAGCACCTGCAGATGCTCCCGCTGCAGCTGAGCACCTTCGACGACGAGCCTGTCTCGCCCCCAGCGGACGACGAGGACGAGGACGACAGCGAGCGGTTCAAGCTCCTGCAGGAGTACCTGTACGAGCGCGAGGGCAACACCGAGGAGGACGAGCTGGAGGACGAGGAGGAGGACGTGCAGGCCGCCCGCAAGCGCACCCCCGACGACTCGCCCGCCCTCACGCCCCCGTCCCCTTTCCGCGACTCGGTGGCCTCGGGCAGCTCCGTGCCCAGCTCGCCCGTGTCCGAGTCGGTGCTCTGCAGCCCCCCCAACGTGACCTACGCCTCTGTCATCCTGAGGGACTATAAGCAAAGCTCTTCCACCCTGTAGGGAGGAGGGTCCCCAGGGAAAAGCGGGAGAGGTCGGGGACCCTCAGCACCTCCGGAGACGTGCGGAAAGCTGGGAGAGAGGCCGGAGTGGGGGCGAAGTCGGGAGACCCCAAGGGGATGCTGCTGCTGCCTTAAGTGAGGCGAGAGGGATTGTCCACTGCAGGCACAAGGCGGTCCAGGCGAGGATGCCTGTTCCTGAAACACTCACAAGCCACCTCTGGAAGGAAAGGGATTCTGACTGAGCACAGTCCCAGGGGGTAGGTAACTCTCATCGCAAAAATACATAAATAAACAAAAATAATCTCCTCTTTCAGACAACTGTGCATAGATTTACATGCCCACGCGCCCCTGGCCAGCCGGAAAAGGGATGGCGCGTGAAGGCCCGTCCGCTGATTCATTGGTTCAGCTCAAGGTGTTCAGTGAGCACCGTGGAGCTGGACAACAGAGGGCAGGAACTCGGGCCATGCAGTCACCAGAGCACCGATGATGGCACAGCCGCTCCTTTATCTCCAGGCCTTCCTACTGACCACATACTCCTGGTCCGCAGGCCACTAAGGAACTGACCCAAATGGGTCTCTCTTCCCCCATTGCACACCATCCAGTGCCAGTCTTGCTGTCTCGCTTGGAGAAAAGCGCACGGACACTCAGCTGCTCTGTGATGCCCTCTATATAAGAAAATAGGAATTAGCAAAATAATCACCAAAAAGTGCTTCGTCGGGAGTGCTAAGGAGGGGGATGAAAAGCAAGATCACACACAAGCATGGGCTTGGGAGAAAATCAGCTCCTTCTGCTTCCCCTATTTCATGCTCGCTGTGGGTGATTTTGGACAAAGTCAAGAATCAGAGATGGTTTTGAGAATGACAGAAGACCTTTTGTGGAGTAACATGGTGTTTATGCCAAGGGGGCACTCCTTTGCTCTTCAGTAAAGAGAACAAAATCATGTGGCCACATCGTTACCTTCCATTCACTGTAGCAAGTAATACTTAGCAGTGGAACTTCTAAGATGCCCTCTGTGACCTTGGTGCCATACTTCTCCTATGTACTACACAAGCAAACCCATTGGAATTTAATGGTGTATTCATAGCAACTATTACTGGCTTAAATGACAGTTTTTTCCTATTGTCACAAAGTCCCCGTAACTAGTGAGTAAATGTGTGCCTGTGTTCTTGTGTATACGTGATAATCAAATGTGTGCAATGTCATGTCAATGCAACTACGAGATTGTCTTTGGCTGTAGTATAGATCTTCTTATGTTCCAAAAGCATTTTATATAGTATTGTCACCAATATCTACAGAAGATCTTTGAAGGTTTGTGTGCTGTGGTTGAGTGTTTTTCTTAGGTGACTCAGCTGGAAACTTATTTTTCAGTTATTTTATGATGTGGAACTATGTCATTAATGAAGTGATTTGAAAATCTGTTATATTAGGAGTTTGCAAAAAAAAAAAAACTGTGGTAACAATAAAAAGGTACATGTTATAAACTTGCACACATCATTATCAAAACATAAGATTTAAATGGCAGTACTTAGATTATTTCAGATGACTAGGTTTTTTTTTTTTTTTTTTTTTTTTTTTAAAAAAAGACTTTCCACAGCTACTTGAGCTTTATGTGCTTAAAGCATATACTAACTTGTGAGTCTGGTCATAATTCCCAAGTTATTTATTCTTTACTTTTTGCTCGAAATTTTTATTTACTTTTATTCCTATAGTTTCACTGTTAAATTTTTCTTTTTTTTTTTTTGCTGTTTTATATTTGTAATTTTCATGTACTTGCAATCCAGTCGTTCCATTTTTATCCTCACCTTTTACCCCAATAAAAAATTTTTCTTGCTATTTTGATTTCTCTATTATTTGTGGAATGAATCTAACCCCCATAAATATCTTTGTTTATGCCTTATGTTCAGTCATATTTAATGTACTTCCTTCACGTTGAAGCTACTGATTTCTCAGCCAAAACCACCTTTGACTCTTTAAATACCTGTTGTATCATTTGTTCAGAATTTAACATCAATTCCCATGTTTGAAGCTCATTTTTTTTTCTGTCTTTGTATGATTTGCTATAATTTTAGTCATTTCCATAACAAGAATAGACTTCTTTTTCCTTTAAAAAATTATTTTCTTATAATTTTGTAGAAAGACCTCAAGACTGATGTGTAGATTTATTTCCATATTTTCAAAGAGCGGGATGAGGAAAATGGAGGGTTCCAATGCTTAATAGCTGGTCTGCTAATTGGCAAAGTAGCACGTGAAAGCATACTATCGCTTATAAGTGAAACATGTTTTCTACCTTAATGCCACTGACATATGTCCTAGATATCACAGGACTTGGGCATTCAGAGGTGGTTTGTTTTTAGTAAGAGTAGATTGGGAAAACTGCTTCTGTTATTCAGATAATATGTCAGTTTGTTCTAAGGTTTTGATCTGAGACAATTGGTGGACACCTACATCACTGATCTCATTATTTCTCTGAATGCCTACTATTATCATGATTAAGAGACTTCCTGAATACAATAGAGTATTAGGTTTATATCAATATTGTCCAACAAATGGAAATATACACATTACATACCCTATACCAAAAAGGGCAGAAACTCTTCACCTTCATGTATGGGCTTGTACAAGTTGTTCAGCTTCTTGTAAAAGTGTTTTCCTTTGACACTTTACCACCTTTCATCAAGTAATCTTGATAATGCTGTATAATAAATATTTTCTATTTATTAAACGTGTATGTTCCTTCTGTATACTTTGCAGGAGTTATCATAATAGAAGTATACTGCTTTAAAAATAATTCCAGTTGTTTGATTTTTCACAGAATATGTGTTTTAGGGGAAAGATGAAGATCATCATACAAAATCAACAAACCAGGTAGGTGACAAGGTTGAGTACAGATTGTTTATGAGAAAGCACTAACAATTTTAAATGAAATTCAGAATTTAAATTCTCAATGCCCATGGCATACATTGTCATTCATTTTTTTGGTAGAATGTCTGAGTCTTGACAAACTTCTGAGTCTCCAGCAGAGCATGGCCCTAGAGACAGTGGCATGACAGCCCCCCATTTTTATTTCATGTGTGCTCTGTAAGGCTCTTCTGTCCTTGGCTTACACACTACGGGGACCTGCTTTCTGTATTTGTGGATATTCTCCTGCTCATCCCAAGTTCTACTCCCCGATATTTCAATGGAGACTTCATTGGTCCTCAAAACACAGGATCTCTGTTAGTCACATCTTCTGCCAGAAGATGCCTGCAAAGTAAGTCACCTACTAAGTGTCATCCAAAGACAGTACATGGAGTCACACTGGCCACATCCATTATATCATAATGTGCTTGGATAGTAAGAGCCAACTCTACACGGGACGGCTGATGAAGATCAGGGGTCAGACACCAGACATTTCTATATTTTGCTTAGAAAATAAAATGAAAAATCATGAAATGCATCTGGGTATTTCAGGAGGAAAAATCATAGGAGAGGAAGAATGGGAAACAAAAGGGTGGGGAGAAGAAGAAAAAAATGTGTCAGTGTGTAGCGTAGGAATACACGCATCTTCCATGGCAGGTTGTCACGCCCTCCCCTTGGTGAATCCAGAAGCTTTACCTCAAGGAAGACATTTGAGAGTTTGGAATTGGGATTCAGATTCTTCAAATGATGTTTGAGTAATTGCCCTCATAATTTCTAGAGACTACCCTGAGAAGGAATCAAAGAGAAAGGAAGCAACATTTTATTAACTTATTCTGGGCCAGAGAAAGTTCTCTTTGCACTTAACTCAAATCCAACCTCCCTCAGTCTCTGCCACATGAATATTTTAGAAAACTAAAATAACTCCCAGAGTCTCTCAGCTAGCAAGTGGCCCAGCAGGGATTTATCCCCACCCTAAGTCAGTGCAGAGTCTGTGAATTCAAGCTCCTCTCCAGAGACCAGGGTAGAATGTAGGCGTTGCTCTCTGCCATGTCTGCAGTCTGCTCCCCACTTTGTTTTCTCCCGTCGTTTTGCTCATGTCCCCAATCACATTACAGTTTCCATGTCTCTTTCCCTCACTCAATGGTAAGTTCCTTTTTGCTTGAGACGCGTTTTCCATTCCAGTTTCCCAAGCTTCAGGAAAAGCAGGTACTCAGTACATGCTGAGAAAGTAAATGAGTATTGTAGCACTAGGTCCTCTCAAGGTTTATTCCAAGATCCTTAAGGGGTCCAGAGTTCTACATTTCCACCTACAGATCCTAACTCTGCCAACTAGAACAAAACATGTTTTCATCATGAAAAACAAGCTCTCCTTTGGGCATCAGAAAGAGCCTTCCCGCGGTGCGCAGGTCTGCCCTTCCAGCAGAAGAACGCGCCAATATTCACGGGCCTTTGAGGGCAGTGCGAGGTCTGGCCAGGCAGTCGTGGGTGTGGGAAACAGCGGCCCCTGCAGGAGAACTGCAGGTAAGACAGACGAGCAGGAGAACTGTAGGTAAGACAGACGAGCGAAGTGCACCGGTTCCCATAAGGGTAAGTAAGATCAAACACCTGGAAAGCATGGTCTGGCGATTCCTTCCTTACAGAAGGATAAATGTTTAGACAAAATGAAAGGCACAGCCGGTCACCAAGCACTGGAAGGATGTGGGAGAAAGAGAGAGCCAAGTTAGCCAGCTGAATTAATGATATTATTAAACCAGAAACTGACTTGATTTTCTCAGGGTAGCTTGGTGTATGGGGGGAAGGGACAGTGCAGGCGCTATGATTCGAGCACACGTGTGAAGGAGAGTTCTGGAGCCCTCGGTGGCTTTTCGGGCTTTTATTGGGATTTACCAGGTACATGGCAGGCAGGGGGGCTGGGGGGCTGGGAGGCTGGCAGGCCTCCCAGCCCCAGCAAGCCTTTACTCTCTCTGGGCTCTCCAGTGTTCTCTCACGTTCTCTCTGCTTCTCTACTCTCCTCGTGGTTCTGCTCTGCTCTCTTGATATCCGGTGTCGTAGGCCTTATAAGCCCAGACTTAGCCCAGGTGAATCCCATCTACCTAGGCCCACACCCTCCT